TCGTAATTTCTGGGACAGCTATAAAAAAATTTTCTGATGACCGAATCGATAAATTTTTCAAGTGTACCAGAATTTATAAAAACTAATATCAGAATCCCAAATTATATCAACATAATAAACTTTTATATCTGCTAACTCATATTCATATAATATATATATTTTAATATTGGTTTGGAACTTCGGTATTAGTTTGTTTGATTTGAGATTTCAGTACTGATTTGGGATTTAGGTATTGGTTTAGGTTTCGGGAGAATCATGTTGGTTTAGGGTTTTAGCATTAATTTGGGATTTAGGTACTGGTTTGGGATTTCGGCACTAGTTTGGGATTTCGGCATCAGTTTGGGATTTTGGCACTAGTTTGGGATTTTGGGCATCAGTTTGGGTATTTCAGCACTATTTTGAGATTTCGGTATCAGTTTTAGGATTTTGGCACTAGTTTGGGATTTCAGCATTAATTTAGGATTTTGGCACTAGTTTAGGGTTTCGTAACTTATAACCGAAATTCTTAACTTTTCGGCCTGAAAATATAGGATTCAGGACCCAACTCTAAAATAACAATCATGAGCGTTATTTCGCGATTATATGGTGATGTCTTTTATACACAAAAAATATAACATTCAGATGTTCCAAACGTATATATTAACAAATTAAAATAATGAACATTTATTATTTATTATCATATTCATTATTTATCATATACTAAACATTAATAATCTAAAAAACGAGATCATACATATTTGTTGTAGGCCCAAACATCTGATATTCTAATAATAGTTCACACGAACAATAATAACCAAACAAAGATGTTTATATTGCAAACCAATTTTCAGTACATGAACCCCATTTGGAATCTACAAGAAACAAAAACGATACTGAGAATAAAAGTTTTAAGTTTATAATACTGTATAATTCAAAGGACTTACCGAAATTCCCATTGGGATCACAATGACATTTGCCAGATTCATGAAACCATTTCTCGATTGGACAATGCTGAAAAGGCGGATGCATGTATGCTATATCATTAAAGAAGTGTATTTTAGATTTTTCCAGAAACATAGCAAGTGCTATTGAGTGAACTGGAGCATCACCCCAACTTAAATAAAAATGTCAGCATTTTGAATGTTAGTGATGTTGCGGAATTAATTGTTATGGCGAACGCTGAAATTGGCTAAAGCAGAAATTTTCATATTTATATAGTTAGGTTGGGAATTAGGGTTAAAATTGTTAATAAAAGAATATGTTGGTTTGGATAAAGTTTATATTTTCAACAGGGATTAGCATTTGCCAATTTTAGCATCTACCGTGATATTAATTTACTATTAATGAATGAATTACAAATTGATTTAAATATACCGTTCATAATAGAATCCACCAGCCCGATCTAGATAATCGAAAAATTTCAAGTACCTTTCACTCC